CCCCCCAAGGAATGTCTTTGACAGTAACTTCCAAATGAGGAAACATGGTAATCAGTTTCCAAGGACGTTCAAAACTACAGTGCAGGAAATGTTGCACATCTTCTGTCAATTTAGGGTAGCAGAGAGGAAATGTGAAGATGGCAAAGAGACGGAGGAGTGCAGTCAGTCAATGAACAGGCAGCGTTACTAAACAGCCTGAATGGGCCCTAGGGACAAGCAGCAATTCAGCTGGGTGAAGGCAAAAGATGAATCCAAGTTGATAGCTGTGAGCAAGAGACTGGCAGAGTCTCTCAAAGTGAAAAGCTGCTGCTGTTCTGCGATCAGCAGATGGGGGACTGTTTTCCTGTTCATTTTCTGAGCCTTTTTCTGAATTGTTAGAAGCAAGGATGTCAGAAAAAGAATTTACCTTATAATGATCAGTTCTATAGAAAGGAAAAGCTTCTGTTATTGTCAACTTTCAGCTTTGATGGTCTATAGCACTTGGCCTGGTCTAGCAGAAGATTTAAGGATTTCATGATTAAGCTATTCTTACTTTTAAAATTCGCCTGAGACACAAATAAAGGGTTGGTTTGTTTGCCAGTGAAAACTAATGCTTTCCATTAGTAATGATGTTTCATGATTTTATACAGCTCGAGAATAAAGCAGTAGACATTTGGCAAGAGGTGCCCTCTCCTGGTTCAGTGACCCAAGACACCCTTGATGCAGACCTGGGTGAGGAGACACAGGAGCCAATGCTGTCAGTCAGTGCTGGTACAGATTTAGAGAAGAGCTGTCCTCTCAAAAGCAGGGACTTACGTGGTTTTTCATGGTTTACTAAATACCAGAGCATACATTCAGAGTTTTCAGCCTGGGGATTCACAGAAAGACCTGAATAGAAAAGGATGCTAATTTCAGGATAATCTGATTTGAACAGCATACATTTTTCTGAAAACCTTTATAGCTCTTCACTTTTGCTTCTTTGCTACAGTAGGCTTAGTCAACTCTGCGTGAAAGTGGAACAAAGAGCGGTGACCTTCTGAATCACACCGGTTTGGCTGCATTAAGAAGATTCCTTTTATACATGTTGAAGAGTAACTGATTTTTTTTTTAGCATCGTTATGTAGCAAATGGTGTCACTATTTGTACTTATTAAAGCTTGTCGACTTTACCAGAAAGTTTTTCACTAAACATTGTAGGAGATATTATTGCAAACCCATAACTTACATCATAACGTTTATTCCCAAATTCATTATCCCCAGTATTTCTTGGACAAGCTGTATCTCTTTGTCTGGAGAGCTGGAGCTGAGCACAACAGCTAATCTCATCCCTGAAGCAACTGCCCAGGCACAGAAGATCAGAACAGATTTGGAAGATCCTGCAAATTCCTAGACTTCCTTGCAATTCCAGTGGGCTTTGATGCTGTGGGTTTCCAGGAGCATCTAAACCTAATATATTCCTGGCAGGTGTGAAATGAAGCGGATCTTGGAATCTGTTATGCTCAGAGGTTTTTTATAGCTATCTGTAAAATAATCTACAGTAGAGCTTAACTGTGCAATTTTTTCATCTTTTCTGGATGAAAAGATCTCTTCTCTGTATCTTCATCTGGATACGTATCTCTATCCCCATATCTACCTGTTGAGATATCTGTATCTATGTCTCTAACTCAAATAACGTGCTTGCCTGTATCAGTGCAACGAATCATTCCCGGTGAAGTGTAGGACATCACGCTTGCCATTACTGACCCCAGGCTGTTCTGGGCTGAGGGTCCTTTTGGGATGGGCTGGTGAGTTTTTTTTTTTTTATTCAGATGATTTTTGTTCTTCTTGTGAGGGTCCTATTTTATGCTAATCTTTTTCTTAAAAATGTTTGTCTCTTTGTTTTGGTATTTCTTACATTGCCTTACATTTCTTACCTTTCTAACTGAAATGAACTCTGAATACTGGATTTGATATCTAGCCTAGAAAAAAAAGTCTCTCAACACATCTTTCAAGTTTGACAGTATGTTAACAGTGTATTTTAGTATCCTTTAAGTTTTGAATCTACTTTTTCTGGCCAGTTTGAAAGCATCATTGTGTCTATCCCTCTTGCTCTTCTTTTTCCCTAAACTTTGTGTTTATGCCTCTCTTGTTTTGGACATCTGCTCACTGTTAGAGGTCTCCTGTGCAGAGATATTCTTGGTATGATGACACTGGCTTTATTACTGAACAGTAGTTTTATTTATTTATTTCCCTGATCTTTTTGTGCCACTAGTAGGCACAGAAAGGCTTGAAACCTTTTATTTGACCTTTTATTTTATTTGCTGTTTATGTCCAGTTTTATATGTTTATTTATCACAAGAGTCAGTCTATAGCATTTGTAGTATACTTTGAAGCAATTTATTTTTCTGATGCAAAAAAGGTAACAGATTTATTAAAAGTTGCGTCAATTTTAGTTTCTGATTTTTTTTTTCTGTGAAAGGAAACTAGTTCTTGATTTCAACAGCTTGAATTTTGTCCTGCACCACTGAGTCCCTTCATTTTCAGGATATCGCAGGACATACAGCAAAAGGTAACGTCTTTCAGTTTTACTGCTCCATGTCCAACAAAAATTAATTGTGCCCTCAGGTTTTTTTTGAGTCATTGTCATACTAGTTCTGAGTATTATAAGAGGAGGATTCGGGGCGGGGGGGGCACTGTCAGTTTTTTCTCTTCTAATTTGAAACTCACTAACAAGGCTGTATGTTTGGAAAAAAAAAATCACAACCTTTTAAACTGTACTTCATGCACATATTGCCATAGAATTAAGTTTGCATCCTATGTGCTGCCAACAAGTTCATTTTGTAGTGTACATGCTGTTGTTTGGCTACATGGAGGGGAGGGAAACTGTGCACACAATTGTTTAAACATCTCAAGAATTGTCCATGCTGCCTGTTAGATACTAGTTTTTTGTTTGCAAAGAAATAACAATGCAGTACTCTTTATCAGGTATTGCTTTCCATTTTAATCACATGCTCATAATTTTCAGTTTTAATGATACGTTCATATAGGATTATGGCTGAAAGTACAAAGAATATAAGTAAACATTTATATACATCTTTCAGTGCTTTTCCCTTTTTTAATTTAATAGCATATATTAGAGTGAAATGACCTGGTTTTAATTATTTAACACAGAGGCCCTGAGAAATTGAAGTGTACTTACTAGCCTGAAGGACATGAAGAATCCTGGTTTTAGTGTAATTCTGAATGAAAATCCTACTTTTATAATTGGAAAAATTATATTGTTGTTAATACAAATGTACTTTAATGGGGGAGAAAATCCTCTAATTACTTATAGCTGTGGTATTTACATTCCAAAGAGGTACTCTAATTAATGGAAATCTTAATTTATGTCTCTAAATGCTGTATTAAGAGTGCTAATTTCAGGAACCACTTACTTTTGTTTAAAACTAGAGCGTATTTTATTCTTCCAGGAGAATAAGAGACCTCTGTCATTAAATGCTAAGTGTAAACACTTTTGACATTTTAATCCTAAAAATAGAATTTCATCACTGTCACATGTAGTAGTAACAAGTTAATATAAATTTGGAGGAAAGAGGTACATTCCCGTGTGTGTGTATGTGTGATTGTAAGTTATTGCTATGGTGTTGCAGATAACATACGTTATACAGGGATCTAGTTAATGTGAATACCGTAGTGGGGAAAGCAGTAGAGCATGGTAGTAATATATTCATGTTAACACCTCGTTTTGGATTCTTCTCAGTCATTTCTTCCTCAATACACATGAACTTCCAGCTTTAAAAACTCCAAACAGCAGTCATTTCTAGAAGAAATAAGGAGTTGATTAATTTTCCTGAAATGTTTAAAATGTTAAAAAACCAACACACTGAAGTTCAACAGAATTTTCCTGTACTGAAAGATGAAATAAAATATTTAATACAATTTATTGGGGATGAACTATATGGGTTACAGAATCACAGAATGGTAGGGGTTGGAAGGGACATCTGTGGGTCATCTAGTCCAACCCTCCTGCCGAAGCAGGGTCACCTACAGTAGGCTGTAGAGGACCTTGTCCAGGCGGGTTCGGTAAAGGAAGTTATGCACTACCGATAAGCAAGCTCTCTGAAGCCCATGCCTCACTCACCAAGCATGTGGACCTAAGGCGGTTAGTGTAGTCGGCTTGGATTTCCAAAATGTAAGGTCCCTCCCCAAAGGAAAGTTATACTGGTTTGAGAGGGACAGTCTTCTAATTTATAATGGTGAAAAGAAGAAAACAAAGGAAAGGGAATAAACGATCAGCGGAGTCCCTGGAGGATGTATACTATGGTCTGTCGTACTCAATATAGTCATAAGTGATCTAGAGAAGGCAGTAAAAAGTGAGGTGATAGTACTGTGTTACTCTGAAGAGTAAAGAAAAGGGGTGACTGCAAGAAATTGTGGAAGGGCCTTATGATATTGAGTGCGTAGGCTGTGAGTAGCAAAGGAAAACTGAGTTTTGATACATGTGGAACAATACATAAGGGGAAAAATGTTCCTAAATTCACATATAACATAATGAGCTCTCAGCTTATTCTGTTCTGGAATTAGGATTTATGAAAATACCCCCTCCAACCTCAGTAATGGTAAAAAAATTGAATGCAACGTTAGAAACTATAAGGTAAGGAATAGGGTACAAAGCATAAAACCTCACTTTGTATAAATCCATGACATCAAATGCACTTCTGGTCCCACCATCTCAAAAAGGTTCAGAGAAACGTATCAAGGTTGATCAAAGGTATAAAACATATGATGCGTATGTATAGTATAGGAGACATTTAAATAGCCTTAGCTTTTTTAGCCTGGAAAAAAGGTGATTGAAGGAGGACCTGATGGAGATAACTTACTTATTCATCAATCAATGCAGGTTTCTCGACATTCTTTTTCTGTTTCAAATCTATTGTTGGTACCATTACAGCCTCCATACCAGAACTGGCCACAAGAATTACCATTCTTGTCATAATACCATTTCACCACGTAGTCCCGACAATCCCCTGGTTTCATAGGTTCCAAGCACCTTGCATCTGAAAGTGTATCGGTAAGAGTTAGCTTGGGATCTGTGGATAAGTTACATTATCCTAGGAGTGCCTCCTTCAGTAAGATGAGCACCCCTCTCTTTTCTTGTAGTGCCTGGGAGTATATATGCTTCTCTCACATTTGTAGCCAAATTCCACTTCTCTTAATGAGTTACTTTAGTTACCACTTGAACAAGTCTAAACAAATACAGCATCAGTTTTAAATGAGACTGCCTAACTCCTGATGTAAGAACCAAGCTGCTGTTTAAATACCTAAGCACACAGTTGGTACACAAGGCTTGTTCATCACCTAGGTTTGAAACTCTGGCTCTCACTCTGTGTGATGTCTGCAGCCAGAGCACCAGAAAAACAAAAGGTGATAAAATGTAGTAACTATATTGGGAGAGGGAGTGAGGTTTGCTGGTTGGTTGGTTTCGGTGAATACCCAGTATCTGAGGATAGTATTTATGACTTACCTTTTTGGGTTGTTGCTACCTGTGTTTGCAACACAGTGAGGTGGTGATCTTCAGCAGCAGTTACATTGAACAAAGGATTGACAGCTGGACTCTGAGGGCTGATTTCAGATATGTCATAAAGCGGGGGAAATCTTGATTCTCTGTGAGCAGAGGTGGTCGCAGTATGATCCTGAGCAGATGGCAGCGGCTCAGTATATCTGGTCAGTGGTGGACTGAGCTGCAAAAGGAATCAAAGTCTTGTAACTTAAAATTCTGTCTGGGCTCAGATGCTAAGAGACAAAAATTGAGAGAATTATGTAGGAAACTATTGGTAAATAATGTATGAAAAAATACCATTAACAGCAGGTGGGTTCGGACCTCCTTCTAGTGATTACTCAGTACGCGACTATAATTTCAACAAATGCATTTTCTGACACAGAGAGCTAAATGAAAAGGCAAAGTAATGCCTTCCATTTAGTCACTTAAGCCGAATTAATTGCACAGAAGCAACATTTCAGTCACCGCTTAGTCTGTAATATAGATAAAACAAAATATGGAAGGAACTCTCGGGTAAATCAGTGCTTCTTAGCATCTAGTATACTCACTGGGAATGATCTGACATTTTCAATCTGTCGAGAAATGGAAAATGGCAGGCGGGAGGAACAGGGTACTTGTCATTGATGGAAAAATGCATGTACATTACGTTCCTCCAAAGATCTTTTAGATGTGGAATCCCTTGAGTACAGCAAAAATTTCCAAAACTTGTGCTATGGGAACCACATCCTGTTAATAATATTGTCTCATAGATGTGTCTTTGCCTGTATCAAGCCACGTGACAAATCACCCATTTTCCTATTTCTAGCTAACAGCCAGTTAATCATTAGAAATCTAGACTTCGCTTTGACAGAAGCGCTAAGAAGCCAACCCTGCTCTTCAAATTAAGACTATTATATAAAATTTTGCCTGTCTAGTGTTTTAGTATATTCAAGAAGATTTACAAGGATCTTAGTAACCATTAGTTGATTAGATCATTAATCCAACACGTTGATTACCTACTGAGAACAGGAAGGAATTTGATGCTATTCAGTATCTTCCCATTTACAGGCCACTAGTGACACAGTCAGTTTAAGAAAACTCTTTAGAATCATTGGGACTCTGAAAACTGAAGTCCAGGTGAAACGTAAATGTGCAGACAATTCATCCAGTCCTTTGCATATTGCATTTCTTCTCCAGGTCCACAAAAAGGCTGTATTTATTTCTGATAGTAATTCAACTGTTTTGAAGATTTGACTATAACCATGACCAGCCAGAACCAAGTGTGTGAGCATCTAATCACTTACAACTAATCCTATTTGTGATCCTTGTGACACTTTATAAAGTCAGTATCTGTAAATCCAGGTTTACATTTATTTTCTTAATGATACAGAATGTCAAAATTGACCCTCATCTGTCACACAGATCTATCTGGAGGTATTACAAGCCCCAGAGCTAAATCAATCACACCTACTAAGGGAGCTCTCCTTCATAAAAATTAAACTGAATTTTGAAAGTGAACTATTTAATTATGAATGATATTACATAAACAATAATCCAAAGGATTAATAGTGGCTAATAGTGGCTAATCTATTGACTCCTCCACATTAGGTCAGTAATATTTAATTAGCTCCAATCTGTATGCAATTCACTGAATATTTAAACAGCAGTATCGTGGTCCACTATATCCGTTCCATGCAGCTATAGAGGTTTATACATCAAATATTTCCATAGTTTATTCAACAGGTTATAGGGCCAAGTAACGCTCAGTTTTTATGATCAGCTATTTTTAGGTAAAGCAATAAAAACACCCAAGACAGTTAGTGCTGATATACTGTAAAGTTGACAAATATCCTACTCTGATGCTAAGACAGTGGCTGAAAAATACCAAAAATCTAATAAGCTTTGGTGCAGCAGCACCGTGTTGGAGGGTAGACCCCCAATGTAGGGCAGTAGGAATTTAAAGCTGGAGAACGAAGAGTGACACAAATGAGGAGTCCTAGAAGTACAAGCCCAGTGTGGAAAGCAAAACAATATGGAAGGCTTAGTAACACCTGGAGAGTGCGTCACCATGACAAGAAGCATGGTACTAGCAATCAGCTTGCACATAAATAAATGCCTTATACACTACATATCTGCCCAAATACAGATGTATCTGCCAGATTTCTAACTCACTTCTAAGATGAATAAGAACGACAGAAAATGTGAGGACTATTGCCATTTATTGCAGCTAAGAAAGGGTATTGCCCTCTTTCTTCTGTAGGCTTGCTTCTGTTCTAAATGAGTTCACTCTAACTTTAAAAGTTTTGTTCAAACCTTTTGGTCTAGCCAAATGACACATTATTTACATACTAAAGAACTGGTGAATGGTGAAATAAAGAGTATTTCAATTCAAATAAAGACACACATCTTTTAAAAACATTTGATAACTGTTACTTGTTTACTTACTGGGTAACGGATTCCTTCTGTAGGGAGCGAAGTAGTCGTAGGTAACTGGCTATTAGTAACTTCATTAGCAATTTCAGATTCTGGACTTGGAGATACAACATCTTTTCTGGTGTAGACTTCAGACACATTCTCACAGATTTTTGTGATCAGTTTATTTTCAAGAGCTGAAATGTTAACAAAATGATGAAATTTATTAAGGGTAATCAAGAAAAATCATAATGATTCACCACAAGCTTTTAGTGCAGTATTAACCCTAAATCTTTAATGATAGTGACTGTGAACAACCATCTTCTGAAGTTATGTCAAAATGCAAATGTAATAGAGTAATGCACTCTCTGAATTATTTGATTTTAAGGCTCTTTCGTTCTTTTAAGAAGAAACAGATAAAAACACCAAGTCCCTTTTTCCAGCAGAAGTCATAGTTCAACAGTGAAGAAAAAAAAAAAAGCAGAGCAAAGGAAAGTAAGTGTTTACGTGTAAAAAGGAAAAAGAAAAACTAGGTGACCCATTCTACTTATTTGCACAAAAAATTCAGTGACTGGGAATACTTTTATGTTGAATGCTGGAGCCTGAGTCAAAGCCCTAAGTTTAATCGGAGCTGGGACCAGAACCTAGACCAGACTCTCTTCTCATGGTTTACGCCTTAAATCCAGATTTAACTCCATCCACAGGCTCAGCACAGCAAAATAAGTTTATGCTCAGGAAAAATATACTTTATAGGACTAGTCTGCACTTAGTCTAGATCAATGTACTTTGTTTTTCATGGGTAATTATAGGCTTCCTCTGGATTTTTTCCTGATTCCAACTGTGGCCACAGGATTTTTTCAAGCCACAGTTTGAAATCTACAATGTCCTGGCAGACCCCTTTTTCCCATGTGTGTTGCTCCACCACTTTTTCCCTAGAATCAGGATGAAAGCGTCAGTTTCCCTTTGGCTTTCAGAAAAAAACCCAAAAGAGTGCTTGTAAGAGATAGTGGAGGGACTCCAAGACTGGCAAAAGCCATATGAAATAGAGACAGAGAAGTTGTGTCAAGGTGAAAGGAAATGTGGGATGAAACCATGGCCCAGCACAAAAGGATTGTGAAGGAAGGCTGATGCAAACTCTCACAAAAGAGGACTGCCCCAAAGGCAGCTCAGAAAACTGATGTTCATTGTGTTTTATTGTTTCTGCAAGAGGTAAAAATTTGGCAAAGGTTTAATTTGCCCAAAGAGGAAGAGAAACAGAAGAAAGAGCTGCATCCAAAAGCGAAACATAAGCTGCCATTCAGCAGGCTGCCTTGCCTTTTGCGATGGGAAAGGCCAAAATTTATGTGCTTATTTCAAGTTTGCTCTTACTAAAACAGTTTCTTTTACCTGAAAGCGTCATGAAGTCATCTATCTGGTAAACATGTTCATCATCAGGGTCTGTTGCAATGAGCTGCATTTCTTTCAGAAAATCATCGTAATGAGGATCAGTCCTTTGAACAATCCCAATGACAAATATCTCGATATTCATAGCGTGGGCCTCTCTTACCACAGTATCCAGTCGTACTTTATCACGAGCGTCCGCTTGTCCATCTGTTATGACAACAGCCACTTTTCTTACTGCTGGCCGTGCTGCCTGAAACAACTGAATGGCTTCTTGGATAGCAGAAGCTGTGTATGTGCCTTCTCCTAAGTAGGGCATTTTATCAACAGCTGATTTCAGGTATTCTTTGGTTGTGTATTGCTTCAGAGAAGACACCAACTCCACTTTATGGCTGAAGTTGATAATGCCAATGCGGGTTGTAGCGTGGTTGGCCGATACCTTGTCAATGACTTGTTTCATAGAAGTTTTGATAATATTGAAGTTATCTGGTCCAACACTTTCTGAACTGTCAATGACAAATACTAGTTCCAGTGGTGTTACTCTACATCTGATACCACAACCTAGAAGAATAATCATTTCAGTCATTTTATAAGAAACCACCTTCATAAAAATGAATTGAACTCATATATCAGATTTACAGTCAGTTAAAGCTCAATTAGTGAATTAATTTATAGTTACTGATAAACAGAAACAGAGCTGGACCAAATTACTTCTAGTATAGTTCTGGCAACATAGCAAGCATTGTTTTCACATCAGTGGTATTCTTACACACAAACACGCAGAGGACAAACCCATTCAGTCAATATAAATTCAGTGTGTTCAATCAGAACTATATTTTTTTCCATATTGGAAAGCTTACCGCATATTTCATTGATAAGTCTGATAACTTCTTCTCTCTGAAAAAGAGTATTAATTAATTTGCTGTGTTCTCATTTTAAGAATGCTAAAATTTATTTATTTAGTTATTTATTTATTTTAAAAAGTGCAGGCAATGCAATGCCCCATAAATAATCTTGTGTAACATCACATAACCTTTAAATATTTTCCCAAAATAAATTCCTATCTTTTAAATTAATTCATGTACATACTTACTGAAAGACCAGGTTCACCTTTTCTTCCCCAAATTCCCTGAAAACATGTAGAATGAGACAATTAACACAAGCCAAATTTGTCTAATTTCTATTGTGTAAAATAAAATAATATGAAAATGTGTTTTACCTTTGGTCCTGGAGGTCCTGAGTCTCCAATCTCTCCTTTGGCACCTTTGCTCCCTGGATCACCTTTATCTCCATAGTCTCCCTAATTTGAAATAACCCAATTAAAGAGAGTCAGTAACTCCAGTTTTGTTGATAGTCAGAGCTGGTGTTCTGGTTCAATTAGCTTTTAAGATAAATTTTCTGATGCTTTTATTTTTTTTTGAATGGCTGGCTTATCCCATATGTATTATGTAGAGAACATCTAAAAACAGGCTCTCAGAGAAAGCAAGATGGGCAGTAAATATATCTTTAAGAACTTTTTATGAAAAATTACCTTAATTCAGAAGTGAGGGGTAAATACATCTTTATACAAATGTTGAGAATATATAATTTTTCACTCTTACTTTGATTTTCTTGAACTCTAAACCAACATTTATATTGGACCTGTGTTAATTCAGACCAGACCTATGGAGAGACGTAACTGCCTCAGATCAGCCAATGTACTGAGACTCACAGCAGCTTTGTCTAGAACCCGCATCAAAAACTGGGAGCTTGCAAACAACAGAGGCAAAGGCATGCTTGGACTGTTACATCCACTGTAAAGTACGTAGTTTCACATTTAGAAGCAATTCTGCACTTTCTTACTCAAGTGACTAAACCTCTCGATTTCCAAAAGAGAAAGGGTTCCACATTATGGTATTTCAAGATACATAATGCAGGTATGAAACATACTATCAAAAGATTCAGTCTCTAAATTACACATTTCTTCAAGAAGCAGATTGTGCAGGACATTTTTTTCTTCTCTCTGGAAGTTACTGACCACCTTGCATTTCACTTGAAATCTTACAGAATTTTATCTAAATTACTGTCCATTTTTATATTTATTCCTCATTATTACCCAGCGAATGGAATCACATAGATACCTTCCGTGTTACAGCGTTTGCCGTGGTGATTGCTATCAATTTTAAGGAACCCTTTTGACTCTCTCAGTCTGATTCCGATCTTACTCAAACTGGCATAAACCTGAAAATTGTACATAGCTCCTCCACAGCACTAAGAAAACCAGTCTCCACTAAGTGAGCTCTTGGAAGACAGTTTTATTCTATTTCACAAAATCATAACATCCAGCAAAGGATATTACTTTCCATTACCTTTCCATGAATTGAATCTAACCTCATCAAAGTTAATGACAGCATAAGAGGGAGCAAATATAATCTACTGGCCATGGTGGTGCTCCTACTGTCTTATACACTGAAACCTGATGTCTTTGTTATTTGGCACTTATATGAAATTCCTACTGAACTAAACCATGTCTTTTCATGTGTGACAGGTCTGCTATATTAATAACAAACAGAAAAATTGCGAGTATTTGGAGAGATTTACATTGGGTCATGAAGATTAGTCAAGATAGAAGATGAAGAACAGTAAAAATATTGCAATTATTATTATAGTATGCAGCATTTGGCATCTGAGAGAAAACAGAATTAGAAGGCAGAAATTTTAATCTGTGTGAAAGAGCTTGATGTTCACGGTTGCATAAAAGCTCCAAGCTGTAGTAGCTTGAATAATACAGAAGTCTAAGAAAGTGCTGTATAATGTGAGCTTGTGTAGACCATAGTACCATGAACATCATTAGTGCAAGCATCAAATGGCTGGGGCTCCGAGTGGGTACTGCTTGCCTCAGGTGACTACAGAGGGGATTGAATGCTTATCTGGTAACTTCCTAAAATTAGGGGGCCTGATCATCTCTGCTCTCCCGTGAAGACTACCATGGGTTTCTTTCTCAGGCTTTCCAGACAGACCCTTCACAATAAATTACGTATTTCAGCTATTAGTGCAGCTAATTATTGCAGAGGGTCTGCCCAGCTGGCCCAGGCATATGCTGTGGATTAAAGCTGGTGTATGGCATCATGCATTTACATCAACGCTCATTCCACCTGGGCACACCGCTCTCACTGGTGTATGCCCAGAGTTGATCTGCACAGCCACATTGACCGTGAGCCTTGGTTTGCTTTGGCTAGGCTGCTCCCATCAGAAGCTGCACATCTGAAAATCACTAATAAGTAGCCAAAGTATTTAAATTCCCTTTGTGCAAAATTTGTTAGATGGGAAGAGGTATGTGTAGGAAATTCTTACAAATTTTATATCAACCAGGAAGTTGTTGAGTAAGGAAAGATTCAGGCCTGGGCTTCAATCATTGTAAAAAAAAAAAGATGAGTCAAATAAAACTAAGCCCTTAAAAGACATTAGTCAAAAAGCAATTCTTATTTTGTCAAAGCCTGGCAAGTAAAAGGACATTTTGTAATACCTGAAAAATATCTAAGATAACTGAACACATAATTTGGCTAATATTGTTTTCCTGCCAACAGGCATGACTTCATTCTAGACCCTACTTCAGAGCCTGCTCCTTAATGACAATTAGGATTTTCACAGACTGCAAAGCTGACAGTAAGCAGCAGGCACTTGCCTTGCAATGTCTTTGCCTTCTATTTATCTTCAAAGACCTGTCACATGATGTAACCAATAAAGGAAGAAAAAAATTACCTTTTTTTCCTTACCACAAACCTAGGATTTACCTTTGGTCCAGGAAGGCCAATTCCTATTGATCCCTTTAGTCCAGGGAAACCTTGATTTCCTTTTTCTCCCTGAACAGAATGTGGAAAGTAAGTTTAACTGAAAATTAAAGTAAAATCTATGCTGTATCTACTCACTTTATAACATTCTGCATCATAGAGAAAGCCAGATATTTGTATTACGTGATGAAGCACATAATTTTCAAGGCAGAAGTGGTCTGCAGCTGGAGAAATGAGCAATTGGGTATGATTCAGAACACACATGAAGCCTTTATAAATATATAATGGAGAATGTATTCCTGATTAATTAAATGAAATATTGTCATTTCACTGAAACAGATGAAAGACAAAAGTAATCCCACTGAGGCTCAGATAGTTATTCATCCAGTTTACAAGCAGTAAAATGAACTCCAACACAAAGGTTCTCTAGAAATACAGACTCAGAATCTCTGCAGGGTTGACTCAGTTTTTCTAGGCAAATAAAAAGACATCTCTGCTTTCCACAATGTGGAGAGCAGAACATCTTTCTGCTGGTACTTCAAAAGACAATACCAGTCCAGCTAGAAAGTTCAAATTTGTTTATAATGATTGTTATACATGCCCGGCTGCATGCACACAGACTTGAAAAGCAAGTTTGTGCTAGCAGTGTGGGCATACAACATGTTATAAAATATAGCTGTTATAAAACACATACAGAAAATCCTTCACAGCATCTGGCTTCCAGAAACCTTCCTGCTTTATTTCATAGGGTAACACAAATTTTTTTTTCAGATCAAATGCTGTATACACTTTAAACACAGCTAGAGGTGATTATATTCCCTGGTACATAAATGTTTCACCATAATTCACATTACATATATAATTCACATAACAGCAGGGCCAGGTGCAAATACCAAAACCAGCTCCAGAGAATGTCAATGAGATCAGGAGCAGTCATCACCTGTACCAAACCTAGCCTATGAGATGCAAGTACTAAGTCAGTTAGTTTTATTTTTCAGTCAAGAGTTCTCAGACTGTCTAAGTAAAGCATCTTTTACTAATACTTGTGTAGCTGCTCACAAATGGGCACAAAGGGGTTATATTTCTCGTAACGGGCAGAGAAATACAAAAATGTTTCCAAATTTATCAAGGAAGCCAAAGGCCCAATAGTGCAGCAGGACTGACCACTGACCATCCTGCTGTGCTGGGTGGGGCTTACGGATTTCTGCAGGTGGAGAAGCAGCTGCTCAGCGCATAGCCAAGGTGACCTTCTCCTCCTTGTACTCCAGGCTGCTGACTCCCGTGAGTTGGGAGCTCACCCGGAGTTAGACAATGAGGTGCAGCTCCTAGAAGAGGCAGTATACCAGGAATCATGGTCCATGGATGGTTTTCCCTGTCTAAATTCCAGGTTTGACTGAGGTCTTGCTGAGATGGAAGCTTCTGCTTGCACGTGGGTGTGTTGTGGTCTTGCCCCATGCCAGGCAAAGGCACCCACTGCACTCCACCTATCACATCTCCACTGGAGCACTGCCTTTACAGCCCTGCCCTACGGGAGCCTCTTGGTCCATTAGCCCTAACTCAGGGAGCTAAAATGCTCTGCTCGTTATCGGGGGTACCTATCACTGACCTGCTAACCAGCAGCCTCTTGCCCCTGTAAGCAGAACTTCTCCCCTTCCCTTCTCCCCAATTTCTTACAGCAGCAAAAAATTCAGACACTGTTACGTAGACTCTGGAGAGTGGAAAAGAAACCGTGATGCACCAAATCACATTGCTAATTCACTAACAGAAAAAAGAGAAGAATTTCCTGCAAATAGGAAATGCTCCTCAGGCAATGGGATACACAAGGCGCTTTATTTTGTGCTGTTGTAGGAACACGCAATGACTACTTAATCTAATTTACTTTAAGTCACTTTTTAGCAGGATTGTGTTTCCTGGGTCTTTCATGTAGGTTGTTAGTGCAAATGGCTTTTAAACACAGTGAAACGGCGTGCCAGCTTGTTTCAATGTCTGCTGTCCCACTCTGGAACCGACTGCCCTTCCTGACCAGGGGCATCACGCAGCTTCCTGATTAACACCTCTGCAGATGTGCAGAGCACATACACATGGAGCAGAATTAGGATATGCTGTCTATCCCAGTGGTTCTTCACTAATAATAAATGTCAGATCCGTCAAAACCATATATTTACTGCTACCATTTGTTACAGCCCATTTGACATGGTTAGGATGGAGTTCAGGCAATGAAAACTGAATGAGAACTACTGTTCTGAAAAAATCCATACCTGTACAGCTGACACTTCTCATAGGCACACATGTGAGTTTTATCCTTTAAAACATCAACTGCAGAACAAACTCCTGCTTCCTCTACTTGTGCAATCAATCAACATAAGAAGGATTTATCATAGATACCATAACTGAACATTTAGTAAAAATCAAGAAGTATGCTGTATTAATTTAAAAATATTTATTGCTTTGCCAGTTCAATCCACATACATAATTAAATTTGAACTTGACCATCAGTCTTATCATAAAAAACAAAGTGGTATGCACGTAAAAATGCAGACCCTTGGATCCCTGACCCTAATATCCTGCTAGATTACTGATCAATAAGCAGACTTCTATGTAAAAATGTCATTCTATGAACTAAGTTCAGATCTGAGAATGTCTAGACTGTGGTTTTGAAAGGAAACCAAGCATAAAAAAGAGAAGACCTGTGAATGTAGCTATCAACATAAAGTTATTCCAAAACCATCTCATTTTTGACATTCCATTCTTACCATATGCAGACTAAGCTGTATGTATATAAAAAAAAATACTTGGAGTGATATTGATAGTTCAAATGCAGGAATACAGTAGCTTTAAGCTGATGAAGTGGCCAAAAAGAATGAAGCTTGACATGGCTGTGAAGAGATAAAAGGACAGAAGAGACAGATAGAAGTGCAACAAGCATCACCGTACGGAGGAAACAGGTACTACAGGAGCAAGACAGTTGCCAAAGTTGTTCAGAAGGAAGTTGTTCTTAAGAATTATATAAAAATAATCATAATCAAAAAAAGTAGTTGGTAAGGGAAGAGAATTTAAATGACAAGACTGTGGCTACGCAACTCGTGGAATGCTTCAGAGACAACACCAGCTGAGTTGGATCTACCACATCATTACAGTTTTGGTTTCAAACCCAAAGACAACGACCTTCCACAGCCAGAGCACGTGTTACTTTCCTGCATCCCTACATTCCACAGCCTTATATCACAAACATGACTTTGTCTGACAGTGTGTGTCAGTGGACCGTGTTCTTCCACTGGAAAACTTCCACGACGAAACTGAGTTCTCTACACTTCTAAAATATGCTTTAGATATTTATTCATAGCAGTGCCAACGTAATATCCAAAACTCTGTGTGTATCTATACATAGCTAGACAGACAGATAGGTAGATAGATGCATATGTGCACACTGAGTGTATTTTGACTAACCTTTATCTTTTGTCAGGAACATAAAAATATTACATAATCTGTATATATTTTCATGTGTCACCAGATGCCTTTGATTGCTGAAACATTTCTGTTCAGAATGGCAATTGCACTTATATAAATAACCTCACATACCCATAGAATCAACGAAGATACATCCCAAGTATTAGATTCTGGAAACACATCAGAAATGTCTATTAAAGCCAGGCAGGAAATAGTTTTCCTATACCAGAAAGCCATACGGAGATGGCAGAAATTTTTCTCTAACCATGTAGAGATCTCTGTCTAGGAAAGTCCTGAGATGAGATAAACCAGAATCTGTTAAAGACAGTTATGCAATAAGGAGCAAAAAAAGAACACAGTAAAGTATGTTTTTATGCTATGAAACACTTCACAGTGAAAAAAGGAAGGGCTCTCTGCAGTATAAAAAGGGAAATGATTGAACATAAATATAAAAATAGAAGACATTGAAGCTGGAATTAGAGCAAGTACTGAACAAAACAAATTCAGAAGGAATCAGCGCTTTTCTGGTAAAGCTTGTATGAAGTAATTCTGTGCTGAACCAAAGTAAGGTTCTCCTCTGAAACATTTTGCCAGCAAGGTACATTTTAATGATTTTTTTGTTGTGTTTTGTTTCAGCATGTCATTATTTTCCAACGAAAACCTATTTTGTCAATGAATTCCCTGGTGGCTTTAGTGTCTATAGCCAACCGCAGTATAGAGAGGCATCTTTCCCAACCCAACTAAAACAGTGCCCCTCTTACTGAATCACTGGTGGTTTGATAACCTAGAGCTGAAGAGCTGAGCATGATCCTGATCTGGGGAAATAATCATATGCTCAACTTTAAGCACACTGATTTAAGAGAAATAGGAGAAACTTGTGTTGTTCTCCATTAAAGCCTCCAGTTCTAATAATTTTCTTCTACACATTTATGACAAGGTGATTTATTAACTTTGAATATTCAGAACGCATTACCACGTTTGTGTTTCTCCTTATAAGGAGAGAAGTTGTGGTTATGGCTGGAACTGGGTGAGTAAAACCCTGATTAAGAGTATGTGGGAGACTGGCTAATTTCTTATACATTCCTATATGTGTTGTTTGACTTATTTTGACATGGTAGATCTCTGTTACTGTCTTTTACAAGGGCATCCAGAGTAAACCTTGGATGTTTTCTTTGGAGTGTCTTTGAATCTAAGTAAATCAGTAAGATGTGGCAGACATGAGACTTTTTTTCCACATTAAATATAACGACAAGAATAATAGGAGAGCAATCGGGTGCCACCAATACTGAAAACTCAACAGTTAAAGTAAATACCATATACCTTATGAACAAGAAGATAAAATACACAACGAATATTTGCAGGAGTCCACTGACTCAGTGGCAAAGTGAAAAACAGACAATGAATCTCCTTAAGAGACAGTTTTGAGAAGAAACTGGTCAGATATCACATTAAACTGGATTACCTTGCTTCCTTGTATGCTGTCACCAGGGGGGCCAGGCGGACCAGGCAAGCCTTTCTGTCCCATAATACCCTATAATAGTCAGTAGGGCAAAAAAAGAAGAATTAGGAGGTAAACTCTATTCCTGGTAACACTAAGGAAGTCATCTTCATCTCAAAGTCACTTCAAGCAAAAAGTAAAACCATGTCAAAGACTCTAGTTCTGATTCTTCTTTGGTTTACAGCTTCTCACTGTGGGCCTTAGTAACTATGCTTGGCAAGTTCCCAGGAAAGCAAAGGAACAAATGAGATGAAAATAATTACAGAATAAAATTTGTCCTTGACACAGTGTGATATTTTACCCAGTTTCTCCCACATAGAAACCAACAGAAACCATCTTTATACAACAGCTTCGTGCAACCACTGCACATAAGGGAAGCACAGCAGTGGAGGCACAAAGGACCCGAGCAATAAAACCCAGCGCGAGTAAATCTGCCAGGCGTGTTAGCTAGTTCTTGTGCACCCTGTACCTATGCCAAGCCCCTGCAGTGCCACAGACTCTGGGAGCACCAGTCATTCAGAAAACCCTAAGTGGGAGGGGAGGAGAGAAAAGCCAAAGCAGCACCTGCTGCTTTGTGTCGATACAGTCAGAGCCAGGTAAAGCCCTTGTGCTTTGGAGCAGGCTAATCTAGCATTTCAAAGTAACAAAGTGAAGCATATCCCTCTGATTACATCAACATTAAGTGTTTGGTTTTCTTTTTTTTTTTTCCTTTATTTTTAGTTGAAAAAAGCTCTTGAAATTTGACAAGCTTCATAAAGATTTCTGTACAGTTCAGGTTGGATTTTTGATTACCGTCTTATAATAAATCATCATTGTGCTCCAATACAGTAAATGGAATTCAGTCAGTGGTATGTAAATTACCTACCTTTTGTATATGTTGAATACTTAGGCAGAAGTATATCAAAATTATTAAATAGAAATATATAGCTCTAAATATTTAACTTCTAGATATTAGTGATGTTTGAAAAGTTATCATTCTTACCTGTGTAGACAAAAAAATTGCCACAAACTTTGACAGAATCTCTTGTGAAAAATACTGTTAATCTATACATCTATAAGCAGGGATTCACACAAAATGTTCTGCTAAACAGCTTATCTCAAGAACTAGATGCTACAAGCAGGTCCTCACCCTTGAAAACAAAATATGGTTTCCCCACAGAGAACAGATTTTTCATCCTCAAAGGCTGTGTGGAAGCAGCACACAGCGTCACACATTTGTAGGATTTTGACACTCAGTCCAAACTAACTTTTTTTACACAGACTGTGTCTGTATGGTTTACCAAGGGACTGAAATTGCTGCAGTTTTCAGAAAGCAAGGCCAGGTCAGACATGCATCCTGAGAAAATATTCATGCTCTGTCACTCATTGCATTTCTGTAACAGGTTGGTAGTAGCAATGTTTCTCCGTTCAGGTACTAGCTTATTCACAATGGCAGTGGAGACTTCTCTTAATATCTCGACTAAGGAAATCACAGAAAAAGTTACACAGGCATATCTATTTTTAACTGAAGTTAAAGTGGAGAAATATATACAATGTTTGTCCTCATTGCCTTTGTGAAAATAGCTGATGGATACACCTATAATAAAGAGATCCAGGTATGCATTGAATTCCTTTTCTTACCAGTACGTCCTTCTTAATTATAAATCACTTTAGTAGAGGGTGGAAAAAATTGCCCAGATGTTGCATGCTGGCTGCTTATAGAATTAACTTTTTGTTTTCATGTTTCTTTCCTACTGGTTTTACTAACGAAATTAATTGGACTCAATTGCATTGAGCAAAAATTACAAACTTGAAATTCATATTTAATGTATTTTCCACCACAAATGAATCTCTCAGCAATAGAAGAGATACAAACAGAAGAAACACATCATTTAACTGATTTATCAGCCTGATAGTTCTGTTCAATTTCCAGCTGTAATCTCATAAATTTTAGCTGCAAACGCAGTTTTCATCCAGTCAGTATTCCTTCCTAATCTGGTTGGTACAAGTTTATGTTCAGTGCCCATGTTTTTACTCTTGAATTCTCCTACGGTTGCATCAATGTAAATCAATAACTGATGAAGATATCTGGGTGTCTGAGAGATGAGAGTCTGCCAGCCAGCATCACAAAAGAGCACAAAAACTTCAACATGGCATCATACCAACCTTGGGACCAACCGTTCCGCTTCCCCGTGGCCCTGGGGGCCCTGGATACCCTCTCATTCCACGGTCCCCCTGAAAACAGTCACAGAAATGTCAGTGATTTATCACCTATTAACTGTTACATCTTTCATCCACTTAGGAAGCAGTCAGTCAAACTACTGAGTTTTAAAACAAAACAATTGTTACATACATAAATGATTGCTTTATAGAAAGATATATGTAAAAAAAAAAAGCCCCAAATGCAGGCACCCACATTATTTAAGCTCTAGGTGAAGAACATTCTTTCCCAAGCAAAGGTCCATGTGATCAAAATCACCAACAGAGATAGGACCCTAATTTGCAAACTTTTCAGCTACAGAAGAAAAAGAGAAGCAAACTCATCTGGAAACAACACCGTTTATCCACCATGTTCTGGAGGGGCTTGCCAGGATGGACAGGGAGCTTACCAGTAGGACCCAACAGTGATTTTGCCCTTCCCTGATACTGTGCTGGTGCTGAAACTAGAGACATTTAATTTCCGGAACTGTCAAACTAATATGTTTATGAAAACTAAATGAATTTTAATAGCATTTATATACAAGAACAAAAAGAACCGACCTTTCTTTGTTTTCTTAAAAAGCCTTAATGCGTATATGTTCAGCTTGATTTCTTAAGGAAACGAAGCTTAAGTGATACTCTGCCTGTGTTTCTGCTTGTCTGTGTCAGTCCTCTTTTTCTCCCAGTATATTTTGAACCTATCAGTTGGTTTCAGCCAAACTCATCAGCAATGTAGAGGCCTTGAGCATATTCATTTTTGACAGTTTTGGGGATAAATGGAGGCTGGGTAAAAGAAAGAGATTCAATTTATGCTTTTAGTGGGGAAAACAAGCCCGGAAGGGGCACATCCCTGGAGCAGCGGGCAGGGAGGAGGCAGCAGCTGGCTGGCCAGGGGGATGCGGGCATCACCGAGCCCGGTGCAGCCTCTCAGGCTGCAGGCAAGCCTGGTGAAGGAGACGGGGGTCAGGGAATGTTACTGTCAGGGGGAAGGCACGGGGGCATAAGAGGCAGTTTCATTTTCCTCAGTCCATAAATGTGCAAATGAGGGAACAGACACACATTCAGCACGTGATCACTAGAAAACTCCCATCAGTCTGAAAAGAAAAAAGAAATCTATAACTGATAAGTTATAGATGCAGAAAATTCTGAATCAGGTCTAGCAAATGTCCTGAAACCTACGCCTGTGCAGGCAAGTGCAAAATAAAGAAAAGTTCTGATAAGCTATTGATCATCCAATATATCAACAACAGAGCCAAGAAGAAATTCTATTTGTTGAAAAAATAAAAATTAATTATAAAAATATTAATGATAAAAATTTTTCATTGTAGTTGATTTCCCACTTGGAAAAGCTATAGAAATGTCTGTGCCTGCAGAGGGAGCATTCTAACTAGAAGAGAGGTGGAAGTATGAATCACACACATCCCAAATGACACTTGAGCTGGGGTAGGTGAAAAGAGACAACATATCAAACTCATTAAAAAGGAAGGAAACAAGAGTACTGACTTCCTTTACCTTCCAGGAGGAGTGTGTGCAGTCATTACAATGACTGCTTTTAGGTGAAATGCTGAAGGTACAATCTCTAGCGAGAGATCACTCCAATCTGTGCTTTTTATATACGGCTATGATACTCTCATGCTAAGTCCGGACACGTGTGCTATTTATGTAAATGTATTAGAGCCCAAACTATCCTCAAGTTTGATGGATTTGGAGAGGTGGGAACTCTGAATCCAAAGGCTAAGGCTTAGATTGAGCTTATAATGCTTTCCCTCTTCAAGTAACATTTGGCTTCTGAATTTATTTTCCATTCCTCTTTCTTCCAAAGCACTGGAGACCGGCCAATTTGAGTCAGGACATAGGCATGGTGCATGGAAGCTCTTAGCTTTAAATTAGTGGGTCATGCTGATTGGGTTAAACTGATTGCGGTGTTCAGCCAGGAGAAAATTTCTCCCTCATTGATCAGAGAGGGGAGTTTCTTGTTTTCATCTGGTCTGGTTTGGAAAAGCAAACTAAAGAGAGAGCTAGTCTCTTTAGTAGTGTTATTCTTCTTCAGATGACCTGAGGCTTATATCATACCTTCCCTGCTAATGCAAAGAGCCAAGATATTGGCAGTGCCCTTTAACTTTTTGCCTCCACTCCACCCCACCCCACCCCCAAACTCTAGCTATAAACTCTTACACATTACAATCTTAAGTACTTGAAGATTGTAGCGCTTAAGTCTGGTACACAGTGCTGGGAAATGCCCCTCTGCAGTGGGATGAATGGTAGATATTCTTGATCTTTTACAACATGCTCGGTTTCTCAGTTCCTCCTGCAATCATTTTCTTACAATTAGCCTGAGATTTTCACATTACTAGGAAATACTGAGAGTCCAGGCAAATGTAGTCATCTTCCTATTTAGTACTATCTATTATCAAAGGAATAACTATTGGTCCTCAGTGTCCCCACAAACCATAATCCAACCTTCAGCTGTTTGTAGGAGAACACTTCAAGAGCAGAAGTTGCACAGAGCAGCGAAAGCTTTCCCTGCCCAAGCCTCCCCCTGAAACCTGCCAGAGGTGCCAGAGCTGAGAGGTGGATATACAGATAAGATGTTGCATTATAAGGCTTTTCTTGAGGAGATCCTCAGCTGCGGTGGCCTGTGAAATACCCTGTAAGCCACTGTGATGGAAGCTGAATGGGAGGTTACCAAACAAGTAAATGATTCCTTATGGTCCAGTATCCAGTATACCTACTACCTGCTCTTAGACGAGCCCTGACCAAAAAGAGCGTCAGGGTGACCTGAAGTCATCTGTCTCTTCCTCCCACGGGTAACACATTCTTTCACAGGGTCGCTGCAGGTGAAGGATCGAATTTTAGCCTCACATGCTTAGTTAATACCAGATGTCTCACTGAAAAGCATTTTTGTAGAGCTTTATAGTAATCCTCAAAGTTTCTGTATTTCTTAGCTTAGAGAAAAAGACTTCTGTTTCGTTTTTGAGTTGCACAGTGGAGCGGTTATTTTTTCTAAGGTGTGACACTAAACTGTCCTCCAGGGAATTCATTTCAAGAAGGATTAGTGCTGTTCTATGATGAGGTCTAATTTATTTCCTGTATTGTTCTTGTAGACAAGCTTATCACTGTCAGAAAAACAGTGAACTAGAAAAACACCACTGAAACAAGAAATAAAGAGGTGAGTCAAGACAGCAAAAGGATGGAATTCCAGTATCTATTCTGTACCATTTGTTCAAGACATTCATTAAACGACCTAATGGGCACCCAAAAAATAAATCTTGGCTTCCAAATATATACACCTCATGTACTGGGAAGCATGTATATTTGATACTGAAACATACAACTGACACCTCAAGACTCTCTTTAGCGGGAGCTAGTGGATCTGACAGTGTTTGTAAGAACTTGTCAAAAAAAAAGACATTGCATCTCTACTTTCCACATTTTAGTTCAAACAGACAGAGCCCAAGTTGCGAAAGTTATTTATATTGCAATTGGATCCAGCCCAAATGTTCATGCACTAGGGACTACGCTAGGGTTTTTCATAATCCTTCTGCTATCCAGTTACTGAGAATGAAGCTTGCTTTATTTCTAGTGCTGGGCCCTTGCTCTTGAATGTCTGTAACACACCTCCTAGTTGGCAGCAGTGCTTTTAAATCAATTTTTTATTATATTCTGACATTATGTGCTTCTGTTTTAATGCTACAGAAAATAGGGTGCTGCCAGGATTCAATGCATCCCACATGTTCCAATTTTGTTTTCATGCGAATTTGACCTTTGAAACATAAAATTCCTATCTAGCAGTGTGCACATATGTGAGCCATTTCTGAAAGTGGGGAGAACAGAGCTCTGATTCAGCTGAGTGGAACATTCCTATATAATGATACTCAAAGGAATTTCAAATTAACTAGTGTGTAAATTTATGAGTCTGTTTTATCAAATAAATGTTCTTTTTCATAATCAGAGATGGTTGCAGTTCTTATATTCTTTTTTTTTTATGTGGAAGGGATGAGAGGTAGCCAGCGCACTTACATTTTATTTGAAAAAACAGACGATTGCCCTTTTTATGAACTAAGTTCTGGGAGAATTCTTGCAATTCCAGTGAATTGTTTTTCCTTGTGGCACCTTTGCTATCAGGAAGTCATGCAGAGACTAAAGATTCAAAATTTTGTGTAAGCAAACAGGAGCAAAAAATCAGGGAGAGAGATGTTTATATACTTCATTTCTTTTTTTTTCAGTGTACCCTACACCATGTCTAGTGTGGATGCACTGAACTAAATCACAGAGGTGACTATCTATTTGGATAATGCATGCTTCTGTGCAGCAGTCACACACTGCAAAAGCCACAGCTGCTCACCATTTACAGAAGTAATATGCATTTTCCCCCATAGGATTAACACACCAATCTAGGTACATCATAAAAAAGAAACTTACCTATTGTAAAGTAAAAAATACAAATTAAAATCTTATCAGATTTTTTAACTCTTGGTTTTTTTTTCAATTTTCTGGCAGAGACTGCTAGGTAAGCACTACTCTGAGCAGCCAGATTTGATGGGCAACATCACACTGCAACACAGTCAAACCTATAGATCCAGGCAAAACTTTTCATACAAAATTTGATGTGAGCAGGATTTGCCCTAATTGTGTAGTGTTACTTGCAAAGAGAGCTACTCTACAGGGTTCTCCTAGAACAAGATGCCACTTCTCCGTAACCTATGGATATGGTGCCTTCTGAATCTACACCACAACTGGTTATTATGAGTAGAAACCTCTGCTTGATAGGCAGCTCCTAACCCTACATGTCCATCAACAAACAGTGCTGCAGGCGGAACAGCAGTGAATTTGCAGCCTGGTGTTCACACTGTGTGCAATGTCAGGAGACCCGCCTGGCCTGCTCCTATGGGCTCATGGCCCGCTGCGGGTAGAAGTACATTAAGAGCACTTCCAGATCACACTATCTAGTTTAGCCTTATCTCAAGGAAATCCATTTCCTGGCTTGTGGGACCAGTCAGACCTCTTTTTTGGTCCGGAACCCAAAGCACAGTAAACGGGTCCACTGGGAGATTCACCTCAACAGCACATTTCCAATCCAGCCTCAAGCACTCATGCAGATCACCCAAGAAGAGAAGGCTGCGGGGAGACCTTGTTGCAGCCTTTCAGTACCTGAAGGGGGCCCAAAGGAAAGATGGGGAAAATATTTTCAGCAGGGCTTGTTGCGATAGGACAAGGAGCAATGGCTTTAAACTAAAACAGGGTACATTTAGACTAGATATAAGGAAGAAATTTTTTACCATGAGGGTGGTGAAACACTGGAACAGATTGCCCAGAGATGTATTGGAGGCCCCATCCCTGGAAACATTCAAGGCCAGGTTGGACTGGGCTCTGAGCAACCTGGTCTAGTTGAAGATATCCCTGCTAACCTCAGGGGGGGTGGGCTAGATGACCTCTAAAGATCCCTTCCAACCCAAAGTATTCTATGATTCTATGAGTTTGTTGTGGCTGCCTGAACGAGACTGACTGCACGTGCTAAGGTCTGGCTCCTTGGGCTGTATCACACCCAGCTCCCACAGCCACAGGAGGCCCTGTTAACCTGAAAGCACAGCTTCCCTTGCATCCATACTTTGCAACAATTTGGTTCTTAGAATGAAGCTACGTAATTCTGACAATTTTTGTGACAATGGAGATGACTTGATGGAAATGAGGAAGATACTTTTAATTTACATGACAACTCTGATCTGACCTGAAATTGTCAGAAAACACATGAGAATAGTGGCAACAATTTATCAGTTTGTCTTTGCCTAATCTTTTGCTGACTTCTTTATACATAATGAGTTAGGATAAGAGTTTATATTACTAGATATTCCATTATACTATTTCCTGTTGTAATGAAATACTGTTAAATTATAAGATCCTCACCTCTTGGTCACAGCTGTTTCACTTTTTGCTCAGTCAAATTCAGGTTGAAGTGACCACAGAATCACAGAATGGTAGGGGTTGGAAGGATTCTGTGGGGATCATTTAGCCCCCCCCCCCCTGCCGAAGCAGGGTCACCTACAGCAGGCTGCACAGGACCTTGTCCAGGCGGGTCTTGAATATCTCCAGAGAAGAAGAATCCACAACCTCCCTGGGCGACCTGTTCCAGTGCTCCATCACCCTCAGAGTGAAGAAGTTCTTCCTCATGTTCAGCCGGAACTTCCTCTGCTTGAGTTTGTGCCTGTTGCCCCTCGTCCTTGTCCTTGATGGGCCTATTGCCACTTTTACTATTAATTGGTAATGTTCAGCTAAGATAACACAGGTCATATTCCTCCACAAAAAGATACTACCAATAAACCTCCTTTACTAGTACCATTAACACAGTTCAGTCCACAGTTCTGGAGGGATGGTAACACTTCTTGTGCTGTTCATGGTTGGAGAAGAGACTGACAAGTAAGGATTTGATGTCTTAATAAAGGAATATGAAAAACTCACTTCAATTGGTAATGATGTATACACTTAGAGCTGAAAGTGAAAATTGTAAGTACTATAATAGCTAATCTATGATTTAATTAAATATATGTTATTGTATCACAAGAGTTACAGTGGTTTAAGAATAATTGTCATAAAAAGACTAGATCCCATGTTCTCCACTGCAAAAACTGGATATATTTTCTTTTACTTTACAGCTTTTTACCTCTTCCACTCTAATGCATTTTATAATACTTCCATCATTCATTTAGTGCAGGGTCCTGCACCTGGGGAGGAACAACCTCATGCACCAGTACAGGCTTGGGGTGGACCTGCTGGAGAGCAGCTCTGCGGAGAGGGACCTGGGTGTCCTGGTGGACGACAGGTTAACTATGAGCCAGCAGTGTGCCCTGGCTGCCAAGAAGGCCAACGGGATCCTGGGGTGCATCAAGAAGAGTGTGGCCAGCAGGACAAGGGAGGTTCTCCTTCCCCTCTACACTGCCCTGGTGAGGCCTCATCTGGAGTACTGTGTCCAGTTCTGGGCTCCCCAGTTCAAGAAGGATGAAGAGCTACTGGAGAGAGTCCAGCGGAGGGCTACAAGGATGGTGAGGGGACTGGAACATCTCCACTACGAGGAGAGGTTGAGGGAACTGGGCTTGTTCAGCCTGAAGAAGAGAAGGCTGAGAGGGGACCTTATAAATGCCTACAAATATCTGAAGGGTGGGTGTCAGGAGGATGGGGCCAAGCTCTTGTCAGTGGTGCCCAGTGACAGGA